ACCTCAAAATTTACTCACAAACTTTTGCATTAAAGACAAACAATAAGACAATGAAATATTTGGTCTGTTTGCTTTTGAATTTTTAAAAACAATTTTTTAGTTTGTAATTCATATTTTTTGTTTTTTTGTAAACTTTTTTAATATTTTAGTTAATTTTTTAAAAAAAATTTATATGCGTCTAATTTAAATGTACTTAAAAAATAAAATATTTGGAAATAAATAATTAAAAAATTTAACAAATACAAACAGTGGTGGAATCAGAAAACTAAATTAGAAGTGGTACCTATTAATTACAACTAAATTTTTTTTTCCATAGCCAACAATAAGAAGATAATAATAATTTTTGAAAAAGCCATATTTGTTAAATTATTAAGTACAAAAACTTAAATAAATTATTACAAAAGTATTTCACATAAAATTTTACAATTAATTTATAATAAAATCAAAAAGAAAGTATTGTGTATAACTAGTATATCATGGACAATGTGAAAAAGTCATATTTAAGTCTTAAATAAATTATATAATGGTAATAAATTAAATTTTTACAAAATTTGAGTAAAAATTTCATATAATAGTAATATCATATCATTATTGACATATGATATCACTAACTAATAGTAAAGTAACGTATGAAAGATGAACTCCACATGCAGATATAACTAACATTCTAGTAACTTTTACATACATATAGGCCTCGTTTGGGAAGTTAGTTATGTTGGTTTTTAGCTATTTAATTAGGCTAAATTTTTTGTATTTGAGAAGATGGTTAGATTTTTTTGTAGTTGGATGTGATATTTGTGAAAAAAAAGTAAAATGATTATAGATTTGATGTGACATTTTGTCTTATTGACTATTTTAATCCTTTTTTTGTGTGTAGATTTTAGCCAAAAAAAAACTCAAATTTGGTTTTCCAAACACTGCCATAGTGAGATTAATTATATTTATATATCAATAATGATGGATATTACTTATATATTGAAATTTTTTCACAAAATTTTCATACATAAAAATATAATTTGTTGTAGTCCCTTCATTTTCAATAAAACCATCACTATTGTTCTCATAAATTTAGAAATGCCATTGACATTTTCTTCTAAATATTATTTTTGTTTAAAATTTTATTTATATACATATGTAAAAAAAAAAAAAAATTGTAAATCCAAAACCCGGGGGGCACGTGATCCCTTGGCCCCCCGTGTGGCTCTTCTAATGAATTCAAAAATATACTGAATTTTTTTTTGAATTTGTTAGTATTTAGTGAATTTTTAAAAAATATTTTTTATAAATTTTATACTTTTTAAATAGGATATCTGATGGAACATCTTAAATATTAAGGTAAAATTATACTTGACTTTTCTTGAGGGTCGAAAAAAAAATACATTAAGTCTCACCGTTTTAATATCATTATGTTGAGCTTTCTCAGGATTTTAATTCACATAACATTTAGCCTTATTTTTATCAATAATTTATTAATTATATGAATGAAAAAAATTATATTATCATTTTTTATATAAAAATATATATTTTATATTGTTTATTTTTATATTTTCACATTATCTGCATTAATTTCGATCCATTTAACTATATTAAAAGAAAATCAAAACTGCATAACTTACTATATTTTGTTTAAATTTTAGTGAAAGTATAATTTATCCAAAATAAGTCTTAAATAAATTATATAATGGTAATAAATTAAATTTTTACAAAATTTGAGTAAAAATTTCATATAATAGTAATATCATATCATCATTGACATATAATATCACCAACTAATAGTAAAGCAACATATGAAAGGTGAACTCCACATGTAAATATAACTAACATTCTAGTAACTTTTACATACGTATAGGCCTCGTTTGGGAAGTTAGTTATGTTAGTTTTTAGCTATTTAGGCTCCGTTTGGCAAGAGCTAAACGGGGCTTTTTTGGCTATTTTAGTCACAAAAGACAAAATAGGCTATTTTAACCACAAAAAACAAATTATCACATCCAACCCATAATCATTACATTCTTCTCTCACAAAAAAAGTCAAAAAAGCCAAAAAGCCCTTCCCAAACCAAACTTTTTAGCCCAGGCTACAATAGCCAAAAAAGCCAAAAAGCCAACTCACTTCCCAAACGGAGGCTTAGGGCTGGTTTGGGGTGTCCTAAAAAAGTGTACTTTTTGTCTTTTTGGACTAAAAAAGACAAAAAAAATAATATGGAGGTTTGGGTTAACTTTTTGACTTTTTATGGAAAAATGTGTATTAAAAAATTGTATAAAAAAAGTGTGTAAGAGATGATAAGAGAGGAGTGGGCCCCACCCGTACAACTGGCTGTACAACCGGCTGTGTAATTTGAGTTGGAAATTATTGGCTAATTTTTGTACAAAGCACTGGACGGTTTTGTTTGACCCGTGGGGGTCATCACGGGTCCCATTTTAATAATCTGAACCGTTCAATGTGTGTAACTCGTCGAACACTAAGTACTTATAAAAAATCACGTTAATCGGATATCGATAGCTATCTGATCAGATTTATTTATTTTTCAATCATTAATTATAACACCATCCATTTGTTGTATATAACTGATTTGATCATATAGTTATCGATATCCGATCAATGTGATTTTTTGTAGACATATAGTACTCGACGATTTCTACACATTCAACGGTTCAGATTATCAAAACGGGACCCGTAATGACCCCATGGGACGAACAACGGTGTGTGTGAAAATCACACCGAATCATTTCATTTTTGCTGCACAGCCGCTGCAGAGCCGCTGCTTTACATCAATTCAAATTGTACTTTTTGGGAAGAAAATTGATTTTTAATTTTTTTTTTTGGTGAATAGTGATATCTTTTTGGATTTTGGAATAATTTTTTGGCTTTTTGACTTGTAGTTGGATGTGATATTTGTGAAAAAAAAAAGTGAAATGATTAGGATTTGATGTGACATTTTGTCTTATTGACTATTTTAGTCCTTTTTTTTGTGTGGATTTTAGCCAAAAAAAAGAGCCCAAATTTGGTTTTCCAAACACCGCCATAGTGTGATTAATTATATTTATATATCAATAATGATGGATATTACCTATATATTAAAATTTTTTCACAAAATTTTCATACATAAAAATATAATTTGTTGTAGTCCTTTCATTTTCAACAAAACCATCACTATTGTTCTCATAAATTTAGAAATGCCATTGACATTTTCTTTTAAATATTATTTTTGTTTAAAATTTTATTTATATACATATGTAAAAAAAAAAAAAAATTGTAAATCCAAAACCCAGGGGGGCACGTGATCCCTTGGCCTCCCGTGTGGCTCCGCTAATGAATTAAAAAATATACTGAATTTTTTTTTGAATTTGTTAGTATTTAGTGAATTTTTAAAAAATATTTTTCACAAATTTTATACTTTTTAAATAGGATATCTGATGGAACATCTTAAATTTTAAGGTAAAATTATACTTGACTTTTCTTGAGGGTCGAAAAAAAAAAACATTAAGTCTCACCGTTTTAATATCATTATGTTGAGCTTTCTCAGGGTTTTAATTCACATAACATTTAGCCTTATTTTCATCAATAATTTGTTAATTATATGAATGAAAAAAATTATATTATCATTTTTTATATAAAAATATATATTTTATATTGTTTATTTTTATATTTACACATTATCTGCATTAATTTCGATCCATTTAACTATATTAAAAGAAAATCAAAACTGTATAACTTACTATATTTTGTTTAAATTTTAGTGGAAGTATAATTTATCCAAAATTTTACTCTCCTGAAACTCTAGCTTGAAGTATTCAAAGCAAGTGCGGGGGAACATTGAACAACAAGAGCCCTCTCTGACTTCGGCCCCAAGTTTTTGATGAAAATAAGGATTTCCAAATTTTTGTTCTCCGATTTACCCCGACTTTTTTTTGTTCCATAATTTATGCATGGAGTTCAGGACAAAGAACCTAATCAATGTATAAATAAGAAGGATAATGAAGTGCTGGCGATAGAAAAACCTACTTAATGAAAGAGATCAAAATTAATATAAATAATATAAAAACATAAAAATACATAAGATAAAATATATATTTTATTGTAAAAGAGATGACAATGTATATTTTTTTCCATTCATACGACTAACGAATTTATAATAAAAAGAAAATTAAAGTGTTATATGTATTAAATTTTTATCGGAATGTAATGAAATAATACCAAACTTGTGGAAGCGTAATTTACCCCAAAAAATTGAATTGGGATAGGGCGGTTCACTGCCCCAGAGCTCTCTCCTTCCATAAATAGTAGTGGTACATCTATATAATTTCTTCTCTATAAATCCTAGAATGACATAGTAAGGTTGGCTGGAAAGTTTTGAGAGAAGAGAAAAGTGTAAGAGTGTAAGTCATTAATTTACCTTTTTCTGGCCACGTAAGAGATTTGTAAGATAGAAATTGTGAGGACGAAGTATTTTTCTTATCCCAATTTTTGTGTTGGGTAATTACAAGATTTGCTTAAAATATAAATTACTTCTTATGGTTATGAAAATTACATCCCAACTTTTTAAATTTTTAATCGCATATCAAATGACATATTTTGTTAATAAATCATGAAATTAATTAATAGTTTTTAATTACATTAAATTTTTTTTGTAATTAATTCAGGTAATTTTATAAAAGAGTTGTTAGAAATTTTATTTTTTTAAATTTAGTTAAATAAAAAATTGTGACAATGTGTGTTTATAATTTTTAAAAGAAAAATTCTAAATATATATAAAATTCATACAAAATATTTGATAAGAATGATGTGACAATGATATTATTGTAAATAAATTTATATTTAATAGTATTTTATTTTAAAGTGAAAAGTTTACAATGAGTCATGTATGAAAATTATGTATGATTTTTTTGTTTTTGTTTTTTTTGTTTTGTTTTGTTTTTAATAGCATCACAAACAAAAGTAATTTAAGCAAGTTTAGGGTTGTATTTGTAATTAACCCTGTTGTATTTGTATGCAACAGTGGCAAACCCCAAACCCTAAATTTTCTCTGTATGGTTCTGCTGCCATTGATTTCTTTAAACACAAAAAAAAAAAGCCCCAAAAAAAAACCCTAAACTCTCTTTGGTAAAAGTCTTGTTGGTTGATTGGTAGAGAAGAGTGAAGGAGGTGGTGTCTCATGGCGTATTGCCATCAGCGTGATTTCATGTTCTGCGACCGGTGTGGAACTATGCTATCTTTCGATTCCACTAAGTATGCTCGCTGCCCTCTCTGCAAATTCAAACGAAGACTCAAAGGTATGGTCTTTGATTTACTCTTGTTCATTTCTCTAATTACTCTTTTTTTTTTTTTTTTTTGACTGTTAATTGTTCTTCTGCAATGTCATTAGCATCTTTTACAAGCTGTTTTTGGTGATGGGTTTTTGATTAAATCAGTTTTAAACCACACATGAATATTCTTTGTTGGGTTTAATAATATTTGATTTAATTGTTGGTTTCTAGGTGGTATTTTGGGTTATAATATTGGTAGCCCAAGTAAATTCCATGAATAATTTGATAAATTCTAGGTGTATATTGTAGAGCTTCTCTACTTTGGGTCCTCATTCTGAGTAATGCTTACAAAATGTTTCAGAAGTTATATCATAATATGGGGGAATTGTTGCTTTCTGATTTTTCATGAAGGCAGTATTTTTGCTTGTCCATCTGCCCTGAAGTTTATCTAATAACTTACTGTTGCTTTTTTCAGAGATTGCTGGAAAAGAAATACGTTACACGGTCACTTCCGAGGTATGCCTTTGATGCAATTTCTCATTTGAGAAGTTACGATTTGCTGCATATATCTGCAGTTTAGTTGCTTATTGAATATTGAAAAAATATGTAGTGTAAGCCACATCACAGATGCACTTGGCCAAACATTGAGAACATGTGGATTACTACGTCCGAGCATGTGTCTGTATTATTGTCTCATATGGGAAATGCATTATTTTTTGAAATGTTGAATATGTTTAGCTGATGCATGAAAATCTGTGATGTTATGATCAAATCAAAATTCAAAGGAAAGTGGAAAATACCTTGAAGACAAATAGAATGGGATAAAAGCATATGAAGGATAACAGTGGAAGATAAGTCTATAAACAAGCACTTGACACAAATTGTGGATGGTGTCATGTAATTTTCAAATGAGAAAACTCAACCTCATTAGTGGAGGGGACAATATCCACAAATTGATTTCTCTTGCTTAAAAGGATGCATAAGTTTGTACTCTTTTCTTGATATGTTACATATACTATGTTTTCGATTATCTCTTTGTCATAAAATGTTTATAACGTTAAATTAAGATGGTAAGATAGTATTTTGAGAAAACAGTGGTCATTTTCTTATGTGTGGGTGTGTGGAATGTAAAAAGATCAAAAAATATTCAAAATTGGGAGACAATGCAACATGTAATGTGCATACAACACCTAGGGTCAACAACTACATACAATTATTCTGAAAATCTTGACAAGGATTTCAGTAGAAGTAAAAAACTTTCAAACAAAAATAATTGTACACCTCACCTCAACTTATTGTACTTACATTTGTCAGTTGAGGGCTCCTCTCTGCTCTAGTGTCTGCTTGTCCCTCTCTGTTCATGCACACATTAAAGAAAACACAGAAGTTCTGTTCCTATTGTACCGTGCTCAAACCCCTTTCCCAGGTAGTTAGCTAGTCCTTTTTCCAACAATCCCATCAATACTTTTGCCGAATCTCACATCTCCCTGAACCACCATAAAGAATGCAAAGTGAAGACTCCACAATTCTAAAGTCGCATGACAATTCACAAACATTTTTGCTCCGCTGCCTTTTTGCAGATTCAACAGATATTTGCTACAAGATGTCCCTATTTGTAAATTTGACAAATTACATCCGAAACGGCCATCTACAAAGAAAAAGCCACTTGGGAGGGGACTAATTTCTTCCAAATGCCATTCCACCAAAACTTGGGCTCATCCCCCACCGCCACAAATCATCCTCTTGAATGCCTTCTTCACAACCTCAATTTCCACACAGAAATGCCTTTCAAACTTTCCACCCTCCCAAACTTCTTTCCGTATGCTTTTAAATTGCTAACATGATGTGCCCACTCTCCATCTTTATTAGACTTCCAAACATGTAGATGAGTGTAACTTCCTTATCTCATGAACTGGAAGTGTTGAGTCCAGTGCTATTAAAGGTGCGCCTAGGCGTGCTCCTAGTCCCATCCAGGCCCAAGGTTTGCTCCTTTTAGTGTTCCAGGCTAGGCGACTTCGATAAGGCGCGCCTCAGCGTGTGCCTAGGCTCAAGTCCCGTCCAAGCCCATGGTTTGTGCCTTGAAGTGTTCTAGTCCAGACGACTGTGATAAGGCGCCTGATTGGTCCAAGGCTTGCGTCTTGAGGGCTTTTTTTATTATTGCTTTAATTGGTTTTGTTTAAAGTCTAACCATTGATTTAATATGGTGTAGCTACAGAAGATCCTTACTCTTATTACAGATGCCAATACATTGGGCATTCAACTCCAAATCAATGATAGAAGAAAAATTAGTCCTAATTCCTAATCTCCAAAAAACACTAAATGTTTCATAATTCATTTTGTTTATGTTGAACCCTAAATTATTTGCTTATATTAAATTATATATATTTTTTTCCGTACAAGGTGTGCCTCACTCCTTGCCTTGCTCCTTGAGCCTAGGCCTCAGGAGACCTTGGCATCTTGGTGCGCCTATCGCCTTTAATAACATTGGTTGAGTCAATCTATTGATCCTTTTTGGTTGAGATTATTGGACGCATAATTACATTCTCATATGCTAACTACACCAGGACCTTGTTGCAACATTAGATGTTAGCAGTATCAGATCAATCTATCATGAAATTTTTCTTTAATTACCCACCTTTTATTGATGCAATCATTTCTTTTTCATATTTATCATATGTCTATCTCTATTATTTGTAGGATATTAAAAGGAATCTGGGCATAGTGTCATTGGATGATTTTGAGGGAGAGCAGCAAAAGAAACAAATGGTAAGTGCATATTTGTAGTAGTGAACTCCATGCATAGTGTTTTAGGTATCTGATGTAAATTTTTTCGTGTTGAATTTATATTAATAGGATCACAGTATAAAATGTAAAAAGTGCCAGCACTTGGGGCTCTATTATATTACTAGACAGGTAATCCTCCCTACAGCTATTGTGCATAATACTTTTTTTGTTTGTTTGTTTTTTTGTCAACTTCATTTAGGTTTCTTCTTTTTCTGTTTAAATTTTATATTTTGGGACTCCACTTGTTGATCATACTTCATCTCTTTCTCTCAACAGATTAGATCTGCTGATGAAGGACAGACTCTTTTCTATGACTGCCCCAATTGTGGTTATAGCTATAATGAGAACTCATGAAAGCAACGATGGGAAACTGTTTTAGGCCCTACAAATTTATCTGTACTTGGTAATTTAATTTTAGTAGAGTTTTGGACAACTGCCTACAAGTGTTGATGTTTGTAGTATGTCAGTGTTATATTTTTGCTTCTCTGTGTTTTTGTTCATTCTGGTAAAGTGTTCTTCTTCCTCTCTTTTTTGTTGTTGTTGTTGTTGTTCTGGGTAAATTATGATTCTATTTCACTAGCAAAGCTGCCAAAAAGAAAAATGAAAAAGAAGAAAAAAAAAAAGGATTGTTACAGTGTCATACCCCTGGAAAACTAAAAAAACAAATAGAAAAGCTTATCACAGACTACTTCTTACAAGATGTCAACATAACAAAACAAAACAGAGAAAGACCAACTAGGAAAATTCCTTATAAGACATCAAACATAGAAAACTAAACAAATCCAACAAGGAAAATGAAAACTAATCTTTGGTTTTAGTTTTCTAAATTCAGTTTTCTGAAAATTGAATTTTTTTTTTTCGTGTTTTTTGGTTTTTAGTGAATATTTTTTAAATTTTTAGTATTTTTTTACTTTTTTAGATGTATCTTACTTAGATGTATCTAAATAGTAAAATATTTGTGAAAAAATATTTTAAAAAATTAATAAATACACAAAAATATTGAATTTTCTTTTTTTCTTTTTTGTTGTTGTTGTATTTTTTGTATGTTTTGTATTTTTGGTATTTAGTGAATTTTTTAAAGATTGTTTTCACAAATATTATACTTTTTAAGTGTATTTTTGTTAGGTGTGGCTAAAAATTAAAAAAATTGCTTAAAATATTAAAAAACAATTCAGTGAAAACAAAAAAATACGGAAAATGAAAAGTAAGTTCTCTAAAAGGTGAATTCTGAAAACTGAAACTAAACAGAGTGAATACTATTTTTAGCTTTTCATGATAAGAGTAAGGGATCTCCCAATACATAAAGACTTGCCCATTCTGCATATTACTTTTAATCCCCTTAGAGAATAGGCTCTAACTCTTATATTCAGAATCCGATCCTGGTGTCGAGCTTTCTGCTTGAAGACTTTATCGTTCCTTTCTAACCGTATTTGATGCAAAGCGCGCGCTAGAGAAAGTTTGGTTATGACATTACTCAAATTCCTACCATTTTCTTGAGAGAGAGAGCTCACTGAAGTTGCCGTGACCAGCCCATAGTATCTCTATTTATATGATTCAATCTAAGCATTTTACACCAAAGATCTTTGGCAAATTTATAGAAGAAGAAAACATGTTCATGACTCTCATCCACAACACTACAAAGACAGCATTTAGGATCAACCAGCATGCCCCAATTTAAGAGTCTATCTTTAGTTGCTAACGCCTGCCAGCAGATGAGCCAATGGATAAATGCTCATTTAGGAACTTGCGCTTTAAACCAGACTATATGATACCTCCTTCACTGATCTAAGGGTCTCCAAAGCAGATTTAGAGGAATAGGTACCACTGGTTGAAGGCAGCCTTGCAATCTCATCATTTCTTGCTGGATTAGGAAGAAGGTTTGGAGGAGTTAAGGTAATGACTTGTTGAATAGCTCTATTCCTCATTCCATCAACAGTCACTATTTCAGTAACCTTTGCATCCAGAGCTCTGCCAATTTTTTGTACAATTCTATCCCCAAACTGCTGATAGAGAGGGCCCATAGGATGCCAATTGTTAAGCCATAAAAAAGTAGATTTTCTTCCATTACCTATTTTGTGCTTAATAAATGGCTGTCCAATCTCTCTTAGCTTGAAAACTTTCCTTGTTGTACAGGATGACTGATTAGGAGGGTTCTATAAACCAAAAGCATTGGTCTTTTATTATTATGTATGGATGCATCCAATTGATCCAAAGAGAGTTATCTTTCTTATTAGTGGTCCATAGAAGTTTTAACATATTAACTGTAGTCCAAACTTTAAGCTTCCTGAAGCCCAATCCCCCTTCTTTCTTGGGTGCACATATGTTATCCCACTGAATTTTAGCATCTGTTTGCTTCAAATTTGTCCCAGTCCATAGAAAAGCTTTAATCATGCTTTCTATATCCTCTAAGATTCTCTGGGGAAGGATAAAAAGAGAGCTCCAATAGATTCGTGTAGTATACAAGACTGATTGCATTACCTGAGTCCTCCCCCCATAAGATATCAACTTATTTGTCCAGGATTGAATTCTAGCATATATTTTGTCCTTCAACTGGATGCAATCCTCATATTTCAACCTTGTAAATATAAGAGTGATCCCCAAGTATTTCACTGGGAGTTTCCCTTCAGGAATTGGTAAGATTGATAATTGTTCATTCTTCAAAATTGAAGAGACTCCTGCCAAAAAAAAAAAAAAAAAAATTGCACACTCGTGAAGATTTGGTTGGAATCCTGACCAGAGGTGGAATTGTTCCAGAGTGTCCTTGATAACAGACTAGTTATCTGCACCACAAACCACAAAGAGATCATCTGCAAAAGCTATATGTGTGATGTTCAAAAGTTGACACTTGGGGATGTGAACTATCCATGGCTGATATTATAGTTAAAGAGAGCAAAAAGACCTTCCATTACTAGAAGAAAAAGATCAGGAGAAATAGGATCCCCTTGCCTTAACCCCTTTTGCCCCTTGAAGTACCCCTCCAACTCCCCATTCACAACAACAGAGTAGCTAGCAGTAGTTACACATTGAAAAATCCAATTGGTGAATTTATCTGGGAAATCCATGGCAACCATAATTTTGAACAAAAACTCGCAACTGACAGAATCATATGCTTTCGTGGTATCTATCTTTATGGCACATCTAGCAGGGAAGTCATTTCTATGATAGTTTCTTACTAACTCTTGCATCGATAGAATGCTATTAGTGATAGACCTGCCTTTAACAAAGGCAGATTGGGTTGGGCTAATAAGATTGGCCAGAGCAAGTTGAAGTCTGCTTACCAGAAATTTTGAAATACATTTGTACTGAACATTGCTACAAGATATAGGCCTGAAATCCTTCATGGTGTTTGGTCTATCTATCTTGGGGGTTAGAGTTACATTAGTGGCATTCCATTCTTTTGGCATAAAACCATTGGTAAAGAAAGCTTGGACAGCTTTGGAAACATCTTCACTCACAATATGCGAATTTTTGTGACAAAAAGAAGCAATATACTAGCCAGGGCCAGGTGCTTTATCTCTCTTCATTGAAAACATTGCCTTTTTAACTTCTTCATTAGAAAGTAGAGCAATTAAGGCATCCTTAAAAAGCTCTGGTACTTTTGCCAAATTCAAATGTTCAGTACATTCCTATCAGGTTTCATCAGGGAATTTTGATTTCCAAGCAAGTGTTTATAGAATCTAACATCTACCTCCTTGATAGCTTTAGGTTCCACCAATCTATTGCTAGTCAGAAATGCTGAGAATTTTGTTTCTCATCCTATAAGCCATTTTCTAAAACTTAGTATTACTGTCACCTGAAGGAAGCCACTACACTTAAGACAATGTACTTTGCCAAAGCTTCTTTCTCAGCTAAATGCTTGTCCTCATCATAAGAATTGTTGTGGTACCTTTCCTGCAACTTATCAAAGATTATCTTTTGCTTTCAGAACATTGGCATAGATACCACTATAGAATTTCTGGTTCGACTCTTTCAAAACAGGCTTCAATCTTTTCAGCTACAAAGATAACTTCAACATTGCAGATCCTTCCGCTGTTGGAGACCATGAATTGTGCTAAACATCCTTAAAATCCTTGTGTCATCCAAAAATAGAAATTTTGAAAGGTTTTCTGGGACCAAAACCATTTAGAAGTTAATTCTTCCATTTCAATATCCTCCAAACAAGAGTTAAAAAACATTTATAGATCCCTATAAAGTCCAATCCAGATGGGTATGGTGGCTAGAGTTGGCAGACATCTTGGCAAAGACAAAAAAAGGTAACATGAGAATAATTCTAGGTTTACAAGAAGGAAGTGTATCAGGAAGAACAAGACCTCAAGAAAGCAAATATTTTCGTACAGGCCTAATTGCCAAAGACCTAGAGGAAATGCTTGAAAGAGACGGCACAGTGGACATAAAATTCTTTGATTTCATTTCTTGCCTGTTACTGCGTGATAACAAATTTCATTTATTGATCGGATTTGATCAGAAAGGAAGGGCATTTTCTTGTCCCACCTGGCTAGGAATTAGGTTAAAATAAAACGAAAGAATTTGGTACTTCAACCTCTTTTCTAGTGGTGGGTAGGACACTGCCATATCTATGTGTTCAGCATCCAACCTCTCAGCAGCAGTTCTTGCAACGTAAAAATCTCCTAGCAGAATCCAAGACTCAGCATTCACTATGCTATAAAGATTCCTTAACTTGCTCTAAAGCAATATTCTTCTTGAAGGATCATTAGCACCATATACAACAAATATACACAGAGATTGCCCAGATTCCTTATGAATGTATCTACAAGATATAACCAGGGGAGTCGCATCCCACAAGAAGGTATTCCAAGTGAAAAATGATTCTAGCAACAATTCTAGTATCAACATTATTCAAAAAAACCGGAGTCCTGTGGTAAAATGTTTTCCATAACTAGAGGATGGGCACGTGTGTTGTACGTAGCACGTGATTTTTCATCAACTATTAATATTGTAATTGTGTTTCTTAAATTAACATGTGATATGTATACAAAGTATAGAGACTTGTATGGGTAAATTGATTTGTATCCAAAATAAAACTAAGAAAGAAATGAATACATACTTGGCTAAAGAGTTTAAATAATAAATGAGAAATTTTATAAACATAAATATTAATTTATAAGTAGATTGTTAATATTACAATCTTATTTTAAACAATAAACAATAAACAGATTCTTTAAATATATAGTATTATGTAAATATTTTTCTATCTACTTCTCACTTTAAAATTGAGTAATACAATTGAAGGTATGAAATTAATTGCACAATTACATAATTTTGTTTAATAGTTCATCTCATAATACAAATTTATTAAATTCACTATTGTATATTATTTGTATACTATTGGTTCATCAACTATTAATACTGTAATTATGTTTCTTAAATTAACATGTGATATGTATACAAAGTATGGAGACTTGTATGGGTAAATTGATTGTACCCAAAATACAATTAAGAAAGAAATGAATACATACTTGGCTAAAGAATTTAAATAATAAATAGGAAATTTTATAAACATAAATAT